TCTTGGACTGTTTCCTTTGTTTGTTTCATTGTTTTTCATGATTTTCTTTCAGTACTTTATTGTTTTCTTCCAGTACTTTATTGTTTTCTTTCAGTACTTTATTGTTTTCTTCTAGGACTTTATTGTTTTCTTCCAGGAATTTATTGTTTTCTTGCAGGACATTATTGTTTTCTTCTAATTTGTTTGCCCTTTCCTCTAGTTGTTTACAGCATTCTTCCAATTTTCTTGTGTTTCCCCTATACAAGCCTCTACCTTCTTCATGATGTTACTCATAAGGCTACTTTCTTCTGCTTCCTCCAATTTTTGATGTTCAGGTCTAGATGTTGGAGGCGGGCTAGCTTCTGGTGATGATGTATTGCTCTTCATACTGTTGTATGTACTTCTGCCTTGATATCTGCCCATCTCCTTGTGGTTCCTTCTTGGTCTTATCAGTGTACTTGGTTCAGAAAGAGCTGAGAGATTCAGGAAGTCTCTCTCTCTCTTGTCCAGATGGGAATTCTCTTGTCTAAATGGGAACTCTGGGGCAGGATGGAAGCTCTTATCTGGACCGGAAGTCTCTGGTCCAGAAGGGAAGTTGAGAGCAAGATGCGAGCTGGCGGCCGGTCTCTAAGTCTCAGGAGGTGGCTGGGGTCTTGGGCAGATGGGCGTGGGGGCAGGGCATGGAGATTGCAGGGGCTGCCAGGGGGCTTGGACAAGGGGATCCCTCCTATTGGGGCTAGAAGGGGACCTGCCCGGTGGCCAGAATCTGGGGCCAAGTTGGGCAGGTCTTCCCAGAGTGGCTGGTGCCCAGGGATGGGGTCTCCGTTGGGCACAGATATCACCTCTTGTCCAGAAGGGAAGTTGGGACAGGATGGGAGCTGGGAGCCAGTCTCAAAGTCTCAGGAAGTGTCTGGGGTCTTGGGCAGATGGGCATGGGGGCAGGGCACAGAGATTGCAGTGGCTGCCGGGGGGCTTGGAAAAGGGGATCCCTCCTGGTGGGGCTATAAGTGGACCTGCCTGGTGGCCAGAACCTAGGACCAAGATGGGCAGGTCTTCCTGGAGTGGCTGGTGCCCAGGGATGGGGTCCGGGTTGGGCCAGGATACTCACCTCTGGTCCCGAAGGGAAGTCAGGGGCACCAGATTTCCATCTTGTACTGCCACCACACTTGGTAACTACTTTGAAATTTTGTCAGACTTCTATTGTTCTTTGCAAAAGACAGATTTGGTAAGTCAATAAAGATATCTAAAAGGGTGAAATTGGTTAAAAATTTTTTCCACATTAAAAATGGGAAACATTTTTACAAGGGAAGGAATTTGGTGGCAGTTTGATAACACACTAGGCAGTATGAACATGGTACAATTAAATGAGAGGATAATTAATGTTCATGGGATGTCCATGACATCAAGTTTGAATATTATTTGTTTAATCATCTTTATCATAGTATTAAAATGTTTGGTCAACTTAGGTGCCAATAAATGAGTTTTAGAAAAACTTGTTAAAATGAATCATATAAGTTCAAACCCAAAGAGGAGAATTTAAATGTGAACCTAAATCAGGATTGACTGTGGTGATATTTTATTTGTATATTAATAAATAAAGTTTACCTGGAGATCAGAGGACATAGCCAGCCATAAACAAAAGTTAGGCAGTCATAGCACATGCCCTTCGTCAGATCACATGTTAGGCAGAGTCTCTGTGTGTTCAAGGACACAGCCAAAAGTGGTGACACATGTCTTTAATACCAGTGCCAACCATAGAGACTTGGAGATCTGTACAGACTGGCAGTGATAAGGATGTGAGGTGGCTGTGCTAAAAGCCAATGAGAAGGAAGAACTGCAAGGCAATAAAGGTGCAGGTTAGACAGGAAGAAGCTGGTTCACTTTGGAGGCTACAGCAGCATGGTGATCTCAGGTTAGCTGGTGGCTATTTATATTTCTCTGATCTCTTAAACTTTCACTCCTGTATTTGGCTCTGTGTTTTTATTTAAAAGACTGATTAGAATTTCATCTACAATTGACTTTACAAAAACCTGTTTAGAGGGAGGCAGATACAGAGATCCATGGCCAGGCACCAGGTTGAGTTCCGGAAATCCAATTGATGAGAGAGAGAGGAAAGATACTGCAGGCAAGGGACATTGAGATCATGATGGGAGGATGTGCATAGAAGATGGACCACACCAGTGGAAACCCATGAACTGTGGACTGGTGGCTGTGGAGCCCCCATGGGACTGGACTAGGCCTGCTGGATATGGAAGATGGTTATTTGGCTTGAACTGTTTGCAGGGGCACCCAGGCCGGGGGATCGGTATCTGTCCCTGGTACATGGGCAGGCTTCTGGGAATCTGGTGCCTGTGGTGTGACACCATGAAAATCCTTGGTGCAGTGGGAAGGGGCTTGGACCTGCCTAAGCTCAGTGTGCTGGGCTCTGCTAACTCCCCATGAGAGACCTCGATTTGGGGGTTGTGGAGATGCAGGGTGGCTTGTGAAAGAGGGCTAGGGCATGTGAGGAGGGAAGATGGGTGTCTGTGGATAGCATGAGGAATGAGTAGAATATTTATTAATAAAGAAAAATAAAATAAAAGAAAAACCTGTTTAAATGACTTATAGAGAAATTTAGACCCAGACAGAAGAATTTACAGGTGAAATTATTTTAGGATTGAATTATACAGTTACAGAAATACAGCCTGTTTTCAAACAAATAAGTTTAATTTACTGGTAACCTTATAGAAATACCTGTCCAAGGGCATGTACAAGCTAACTGAGTGGAAAAATTAGATTTAAGGAGATGTAAAGAAGCTATAGTCTCATATGGTATGCATTCTGCATTTGTAAAGCATATGTTAAATTTTTGGTCAACTTGTAATAGACTTGTCCTTCAGGACGGGAAAGAATTAGTTACAGCTGTTCTAGAAGCCTGGGCTCAATTACAAAGGGTAATTTGGTTCAAATAGGAAGCTAAAACAATAGAGCAAAAGTATAGGGCTGGAGTTGTGGAAATTCTCCAGGATCAGCATCTTGGAGAAGGCAAATACACTGATATACAAAGACAATATTTATATGATAACCAAACCTTAATTTCATGCTGCATAGCATCCATGAATGCATGGGACAGAATTGAGGAAGCAAGAAAGAAAATTGAATCATTTACACAAGTTATACAGGGCACCAGAGAATCCTTCACGGATTTGTTACAATGGCTGTCTTCAGCAGTCAATAGAATGATATCAAATTCAGAAGCTAGACAGATAATAATTGAATATTTGACTTTTGCAAATGTGAATGAAGCATGGAAAAGAATAATCAGACGACTAAAGGCCAGGTGAGCACCCTTGGAGTATTGGATCAGGGACACAGTTAATATTGAGTCTCATGACTATGATGAGATGTGGAGAGGAGAGGTGCTTTCTAAAGCCTTGCAGAAAAATAATATCAGATGTTTCAATTTTAAGAAACAAAGTCATTTAAAAAGGGAATGTAAACAGGGTGTTCCTAGAAAGAATGTTAATTCAAAGATCAACAGCAACAGAAGGTCCCTCCATTCTGGATTATGCAGAAGGTGTGGTAAGGGTAAACATTGGACCAACAAGTGTATATTAACAAGGGACAGACAAGGTAATCCTTTTCCTCTGCCCTTGGAAAACACCCAGAGAGGTCTCATGCAGGTACCCACAGCAAATTAAGTTCAGACCTTTCCTGTCAACAAAGAAGAAACCCCTTCTCAGAAGAATTAAATAACCAAATGCCTATTTGAATTAACCAGGCTGCTTTGGGTGATAGAACAGCTTTAGCAGAGAGAATAGAAATTTTGGGAAAAACCATAAAGCAATTTTTTGTCAAAATTCTATAAATGAACAAATACAAAAATTAAAAATATGAAAAATGACATCCTCTTGGAAAATTTAGTAGACACAGATGTGGATGTCACACTAATTGCACCAGAATTTTGACATCCAAAAGTGCCTCTTCAGGAGGTAATGTTCAGCTGTTTGGCATTGGAACATTATCTCAAGTGAAACAGAGTTCTAGATGGCTCAAATGTATAGGTCCAGAAGGACAGAGAAGGAAATTAAAGCCATATGTGGCTAATATAGCTATGAATTTATGGGGTCATTATCTATTACAACAATGCAATACTCTGATTAACATTCCTCCAACATCAGAAGCAAACCAAAAACTAACACATGTTTCTGAGAGAAATATTAGGAGGTATTATTACAAAGAGAGATCACTGGCCATCCAGATTGTACAAACACAGGCCACAACAACTGTTTATCTTTCAAAGACTCCAACAGCCCTACCTTTAAAATGGTTAACAGATAAGATGTATGGGTTTAGTGATGGCCTTTAACAACAGAAAAACTGCAGGCTTTAGAAGAGCTGGTACAAGAACAGATAAATGATCTGCATATCAAAGAATCAACCAGCCTTTGGAGTTCTCCTGTATTTGTTATTAAAAAGAAGTCTGGTAAATGGAGAATGGCAACAGGCACAAGGGCAACTAACAAAGTAATTCAGCCAATGGGCTCCCTACAATCTGGAATTCCTTTGCTTACTGTGTTACCTAAAAGATAGCCTCTTATAGGTATCCATTTAAAAGACTGTTTCTTTACAATACCCTTACAAGAAAAGGACAGAGAAAGATTTGTCTTCATTGTGCCTACTTATAATAATTCTCAGCTGATTAAGAGATATCAATGGGGGTTTATCCCACAAGAAATGTTGAATAACACATCCTGTGCCAGTATTTTGTACAACAGCCATTGGAAGTAATACATAAACAATTTCTCAAATCTATAACTTATCATTACATGGACAATAATTTACTAGCTGATGCAAATGCAGATAATTTAAAAGAAATGTTTGAAGAAGTATATACAATTTTGCCTTTTTGGGGAGTGCAAATTGCTCCTGAAAAGATACAAAGAGGAGATTATATTAATTATTTAGAATATAACATAGGTCTACAAAAATTAGACCACAATAGGTACAAATTAGGAGAGAATTCTATTACAGAATCAAATAATTTCAAAGTTTATTTGGAAACATTTCCCATTGACAAACTATTGTTGGGGTAAAAATGATGAACTGAGTAATTTGTTCAAAATCTTAGAAGGTGATAAGAACTTAAATAGTCGAAGAGAATTATCTGGTAAAGCTGAGAATATTGGTCTTGGTAGAATAGATAGTACAGGAAGGACATGTATATCATGTGGATCCAAAGCTTGATCAATTTTGGTTATTTTGCAGTCTAAGCATTATCCTACAGGAATTTTAGTGAAGAGGGAAGATAATATACTGGAATTAATATTTCTACCAAGCAAACGAGTAAAAAATTAAAAACTTATGTGGAAAAGATCTCTTACTTAATTTTAAAAGGAAAATTCAGACTTTATCAATTAGCATGAATAGACACAGCCAAAATTGTAGTACCTTTAACTAAAGATAAAAATGACAAATTATGAGCAGAAGGTGAACCTTGGCAAAGAACTTGCTGTAAATTTTGGGGAGAGATTAACAACAAATATCCCAAAAGCAATAGAATTCAACTTATAAAGAGAGCTGATTGGATTCTGGCTTGAATTGTTCAGGAAATACCCATATCTGAAGCCCATACATTTTATACAGATGCAAACATACAAGGAAAGGCAGGGTAAAAAAATAAAAAAAAAATTAAGTGAAGTGTTTCAAAGTCCTTATAATTCGGATCAAAAACTGTCATTCTATGCTATTATGTTAATATTAATGGATTTTTTTGAACCTTTCCACATAGTTCCTGACTCTCAGTATACTGAAATGGTAGTCTTACATATTGCGACTGCAGAATTTATACGTGATGAGTCAGAATTAACTTTGTTATTTATTCAGTTACAAGATATAATCAGGAATAGGAAGCATCCTTCATATGTACCTCACATCTGATCCCATACAGGTCTGTCAACTCTATAGCACAAGGTAATGATGAGATCGATAAATTATTGATAGGAAATGTGCTGAAGGCCTCAGTATTTCATTTAATAAAATCATATCAATAGTAAAGGTTTTAACAAGAGATTTTTCCATAACCTGGCAACAAGCCACAGAAATTATAAGGAAATGCTCTACTTGTTCTATTTATAATCAGACTCCACTACCAGCAGTATTTAACCCAAAGGATACTCAAAGGAATGAATTCTGGCAGATGTATGTTTCACTTTGCAGAATTTGGAAGATTGAACTATGTACACCACATCATTGATATTTATTCAGAATTTCAATAGGCAACTGCTTTTGGTTCTAAAACAGCTAATTCTGTAATCACACATTTGCTAGCAGTGATGGCTATTGTGGGTATACCTGTACGAAATTAAACTGTCAATGCTCCAACATATGTCTCTGTTAAAATGAAACAGTTTTTTGCTTATTACAAGATAAAGCATATTACAGGCATACCACATAATGCTACATCCCAAGCACTCTCATAAAGATCAAATACAACTCTAAAGAATATGCTCAACAGAAAAAGGTAACAAACCCCCCCAGAAATAGATTACATAGTACTCTATTAGCACTGACTTTTCTCAGTGCTAATAAGAAAGGAGTAGCAGCTGTGGAGAGACATTAGCTAATAGAAAAAACTACAGTATTAAATTAGCCTATATACTTTAAAGATGTGCTGATCTCAGAAAGGAAACCAGGACATGTTTTACAATGGGAATGATATTTTGCTTTTGTTTCTATGGGAGAAGAAAAGCTATATAAATCACTAAAAGTGATAAAGGATTGATTTGAACAGGAAAGACCTCTTAATTAGAAGAGGTGATAGTTCATCACCAGTATGACCATCCAATTTAAAACTAACTTAAAAAGTAATAAATGCTTTTCATTTAATCAGATACAACTAGTCAAAAGGTAACATCCCCAAATTAGGCTAGGTGAAAGGTTTTTGTTTTTGTCTTTCAGAAGAATGAAGGCTAAGGAATCTGAAGAATATTGGACAAAAGAGACATCTGCAGAAATAGGACAGATAGGACATATAAAATTTCATAAATCTTCTTTACTCTTTTTTTCTTCTCTTCTCTATAGACACTTAACACAAATGGTCTTTAAGTAGTCCCAGTTCAATTAAAAATTAAAGCTGGCTTTGGAGTAGAAAATGGTTCTCTTCTTCTCTAAACCCAAGCATGTTGTTAAAAGAAAAATGCAAAATCTCCATATGTTGTCAGAAGAAAGTCATCTTCCTGATATGGGACAGAAAAAAACAAAAAATTAAGGAACTATTCTATTGCCATTGATCTCAATTCTTTGGTTCTATTTAGATTCTATATACTTTTCTTAAGGTATGAATTTTATATCAAAATTTATAAGATTAATATATAATAACACATATATTAAATTTTGTCATGATGTTAATGGTCATATAGAGTACTAACATGTTCTAGAAAAAAGGCTTCTATACATGTCAGTTCCTGGCAGCACCAATCTACATCAGAGAAGATATGGGCAATGAAGGAAATGCATATGGAGTTAACTATTTTGTAACAAAAGTTATCCACTGGCCAACAGTAACTTCACATTGACTGTTGAGAGAGTGCTATCAAAAATGGACAAGCAGTACCCAAAACACAGGATGACCAATTCTTGCCAAGACAAGTGTGGTTGCAGCTTTGTCAACAGATGTTCTCTGAGACCAGGACAATAGGGCACAATTACCAAAGTGGCTTTGCAATCTAGAAAAGTTACAGTGCCCTTTATTGGAAGGCAGCTGAGCAGAGGCCTGATGGCTTCCAGTGTGCAGTGGAACAGTAATCCAGTTTATCTTGAAGGAGTAACTAGGGTGATGGAATCCATCCTCTCAATGGTAGACTGGCATTTCATAAAGGAGGTGAAGCCACCCATAAGCTGAGAATGATGGGATTCTGAGATGAAGCCACTTACAAGCTGAGAAGAATGAACAGCTGAATTCCAAAATCAACAACAATTTCCAGAATTTAAAATCCTGAATAGGGCTGGAGAGATGGCTCAGTCTTTAAAGGCTAGGCTCACAACCAGGCAGAATTTAGAACCTCAAATAGACAAGACCAGAAAAGAACCACCTCTCAAAATATTATATTTAAATAAAAAATATGTATTGACATTGACAAGAGAGAAACGTCAAGACAAAAATAAAGGAAGATCTGTCAGAATAATAGATTTTAGCTGAGATTTTGAAAAGCAGGAGAAACTGGAAAGCGGTATTTCATGTTCTAAAAGACAGCTAATGACAATTCAGACTACCCACCAAAGCTGCTCTTCATTACTGAAGGAGATATAAAAATTTATATGCTAAAATATGCAAAATAAAATTATGACCACCAACACAGCTCTACAAAGGATATTTAAAGGAGTCTTTTACAGTTAAGAGAGATATAGGTGTATCCTTAAGAGTGCAACAAGCAAAATTCATTTCACCACTCAACTTGACACAACCTAGAATTATCTGAGAAAGCCTCACTTAAGATAATGTCCTCATCAGGCTGACAAGTTACCAGGTGTTTGAGAGGTAATCTTCATTGATGATCAATGTGTTTGGGCCCACAGCATAGGTAGATGAGACTGAGTTGTATAACAAAGAAACTGAGCATGAAACACTGATGAAGTTAACAAGCAGATTAATAAAATGATTTCTGCTTCAGTTCCTTTTGGAGATACTGCCCTGACTTCTCCAATAGATAAATTGTGACCAGAAAGTATAATAATTTCTTTCACTACATTGATTCTAGCAAGAGTGTTTTTTCACAGAAACCATAAAGCAAAGTAAAGGAACAGCTAAACAAATAATAAAGAATGAAAACAGCTCGAGCACATTGGCAAAATCATTAAAATTACAATCATGAATAGGCACCTTTCAGTAGTATCTTAATTATAATGGAATCAATTCCTTAATCAAAAGACATAGGTTAGGAGATTATAATAATAAAGTATGAAGTATTTTTTGTTGTACCCCATCATAAAAGACATATGTAACCTTAAAATGAAATGATGAAAAAAGATATTTGAGGCAAATGGAGCTTGAAAACAAGCAATTGTTGCTGATGCAATCTGACCAAATAGACTTGAAAACACATCTAATGAGAAATGATAAATATCACTTCCTACTGATTAAGGGAACAATTCATGGAGAGAACCGTACAATTCCACACACAGGTGCACCCAGTACTACACAGAAAATACTACTAGATGTAAAACCATAGTCTATCACCAGGTATCATAGTAGTTCATTCTAAGAATTAATCTTTCATCCCAAAACAAGTAGACAAACTTAAATGAAATCAAAGGTAAAATGGCCTGAAAAGACATCTATAGAACATTGTATCCAAACATTGCAGAATACAAATTGTTCTCAGCAGCCCATGAAACTTTTTTTAATATAGATCATATATTAAGACACAAAGAACATCAGAGAAAATATGGGGAAACTGAAATATTTCCTTTTATTGTACATGACAACAATGAAATAACTTCAATAAACAAGAGAAACACTAGAAGGTAAAGAAACTCATGGCGATTTAACAACTCACAACATAATCATGAGTGATTTCTTGAAGAATCCAAGAGTAGAAATACTCCTATAATAATATGAAAATTAAAACCAATCAATGTACTTTAATCTGTGAGATGCAATGTAAATAGTCCTAAGAGAGATGTTTAAAGGTCAACATGCCTACATTAAAAAATTAAAGAGATTTCTAATAATTTAGTTAATGGTTCACCTTAGGGCTCTGGAAAAAGAACAACTTACACATCAAAATCAGGAGCTGGAAAGAAAGCACTGACATTAATGAAATCAGTGAAATGCAAACAGCTGAAAAGGAAACAAACCACAGAGTCAATAAAATTGATTTTAATCCTTAAAAATATAAAAAAAATATTGACAAACTTTAGATAAACTAAGCAAAATGAAGCATGTAAGCCAAAGCTGAATATGTAAGATTCAAAAATGGAGTCATTATGACAAACAACAGTCAAATTCAGAAAATTATTAGTTTACATTAAGAACATTCCACTAAACTGGAAAAATCTAAGACATATGAATAAATTTCTAGAGAGATCAAAAACGACCATAATTAAACTAAGATGATGATTTAAACATTTAATAAAGTGTGGATGGGGATAGGCTCAGCAGTTAAAAGCATTCACTGTTCTTATAGAAAAGCAGGATTCAATTTCTAGTACCTGTATAACAATTTACAATGCAATTGCCTAGACTCTTGGGGCACCAGACATTTGCAACAAACACATACATACATGCAAGAAAAACACTTCTAAACATAAAATAAAAGGAAAAATAAAAATAGTCAGGACAAGCTCTTCCCCTTGTCCATTACCTCTGGGGTGGGAAAAGGCACAGCCAAGACCATCACTGAATAATTCAGCTACCACTGAGGCCCAATCTAGGGCTTTGAGTTGGGTCACCCCAACATTGGCCCTATCTATGAGCTGGTAGAGAAGGTGAAAAGGGCTGATCTTTCAAAACCTAGTCACAGGATATCCATGACTGTATGTGATAGTAACATATCCAAGATGTGTCTAGGTGAGGGTCCAGTATTGATGGTGTAACAGAATGCAAAGGCCCTGAACCAGAACAACAGCTTATTGCAATGTACATTATCAGTAAGTAAAGCTTTTCACGCAAAACGATATACTGCATGGCACTCCCTAGTTCCCTATGCCATTATGATGAACAAATAATTAATTGAGATGTGGGAAAAATGGAGTAGTAAAGTGGGACAAGTAGGTTGGATCTGAGGCATGACATGTTTGACTGGTATGAGAGAAGGCTGCTATTGATAGTGGAGCATATCCATGCCCAGAGTGTTAAACAAGATTTGGCTTTTGGTTTGTTCGTTTTTCTTTTCATTTTAAAATAAATTCACTTATGTATATTTTTACATTCAAGCCATAGTTTCCCATCCCTCCTCACCTCCCAGGAACTCCACCAACCTCCCTCTGTATCCACCCTTCAAACCATTCCTTCTATGTTTCTGTTTAGGAATGGGCAGGTCTCCCATGAGTATCAACAAATCTTGGCCTATGAAGTTGCATTAAGACTAAGCAGTTCCCCATGTATTGTAAATACAGTTGCTATGAACATAGTTGAACAATATCATTGTTGTATGACTGTGCATCCTTTGGGTATATGCCCAAGTGTGGTATAGCTTGGTCTTTTTGTAGGCTGATTCCCAGTTTTCTGAGAAACCTCCACACTGACTTTCAAAGAGAATGTACAATTTTCTACTCCCACAAGCAATGGAAGAGTGTTCGCTAACTCTACCTCCTCTCCAGCATGAGCTGCTTTATATAGATATATAGAATAAAAGGGTAGATTTTTGAACCTACTTTTGAAAAGCAACAACATGTTTTAAAATGTTTTACATTGCTATGGATTTTAGTTTATTGATACAAATTTAAAGTTATTTTTGTTATACTATATATGTATTTTTACTCTTATTGAAGGTATATTCATCTGACTCATTTAAATTGTAATAAAACAATTAGTCTTCTATGATAGTCATTCTTCAAGGACTTGAAGTTTTTGTCATGCAGGTTTTTCAATTGCTTGGTTAGAATTAAGTCAAGAATAAATTACTTCTACTTTAGTAAGTTAGCCTTGAGAAATGGCATACACCATTTTCCAAGTCCAAATTCCTTTTTCCTTTGTATGGTCTAATATGAATTCTCTAGCTATATGTTGTTTGATAGGTTTTTTAATTTTTCTCTTTTAGTCTGTTGAGAAACTCCTACAGAAATATTGTAATTATTACATTTTACCTTATCTCTGTTTTTCTACTTCCCTTCTCTTGTGGTCCTCATTTCCCAAGTTCTTAAAGATTTTTACATATCTTATATATGTACAAATATAATAGATACATTTATATGTTATGTATGTATATATGAACATGTGATGCATTTATATTGGTATGCATATATAATATATTACACTTAATATGCTGATTTAATTTTGATCATATACCTATGTGTTTTGAAGTGACCAGTTGGTTGTACATAACATAGAAGAGCTGTAGGCAATTGATATATTTTAAATAGAAAACAGTTAATATTTTTCTAGAAGGAACACAGATGTGAAAGAAGATAAAGAGGATGCCTGATAGAGGTTATAGGAGAGACTTGCTGTTTGGTCCAGTGATAGGTAGGTATACATAAGTCATATTTAGGCAATTTTATATATACCAGTTTCTGTCTGGAAGAAGGAATTGCAATTTTGAGAATGTCTCCAACTGAATGGCATGTAGTTATGTCTTGGCCATTTCTTGGTTAATTATTCATGTAGAAGGACCCAATCCAGTGGTGTTGGATGCACCTGCCCTAGGCAGTTGGTCTTGGTTTGTTTGGAAAAGCAGACTAAGGAAACTGTGAGGAATGAGTTAGGGAGGAGTGAACTTCCATGTGACCTTTTCAGTTCTAAGTAGACATCTGCCCTTTTCCTTTTTGAAGTGACCATCACTTCATTTTAGCTTCTACAGACACTTCTGTTTGCTATAGTTTAAAAAATTCTCACTAGAAACCTGTAATTTCAGCTTCTGTAAAATTTGGTCAGTTCCAGAAAAAAATCTTTTATGGAACATGCATGAAAAAGGCACCCTGGGATGATTGCATAGGCAAAATTTTTGTGATGCTTCCTGTTCTATATAAGCTATAGAATGTTCATGATCAGGAATAGACATCCTTGAGCTGAAGCTAGAGTTTTTGTGTCCTGGCTAGTTTTATGTCCACTTTACACAGCATCAAGTCATCTGAATGGAGGGAAATTCAACTGAGAAATACCTCCATAAGATTCAGCTGCAATGTATTTTTTCTAGTTAGTTCTTGGAACATCAAACCCATAGTGGGTGGTGCTCTCCCTTGGTTGTTGTTAGTGGGTTCCATAAGAAATCAGGTTGAACAATGTCATGGAAATGAGCTAGTTAGCATCACCAATCTCATAACAAAAGAGTATCATTTTGAATTCCTTTCTAACAAATTGTTATCATCTGACACCAAGTTGTGGTGGTTTGAAAGAAAATGGTCCCACATATCACAGATTCTAAGGACTCCTCCATAAAACACTCAGACCATATTACTACTTTCCACAACAAAGCATGGCACAAGATCCATGACCTTTTAAAATAACAGTGAAAATTTTGAAAAAATAAGAAAATAATATTCTTAACAATAGATTAAACTATACTGGGACCAGTCCTGAAAAAGGAAGTGAATTAATTACAGTAAATATTTAAGAATTAAAGGAAGTACCTAAAAAGAACAACATGAACTGGAATGATACTGCCCAGCAATACACTCTTCAATGATTGACAAATTTAATATTATGAATATGATTAAATTAGCACAGAAAATCCATAGTAAAATTTTGTCAAAATTCTAATTTCATTTCTTATTTTAAAAAGTTGTTTCAAATTTATTTTACTTTTATTTTTGAGTGTTTTACTTCCATGATAATCTGTGTACCTCATGCATTTTGGTGCCTGTTGAAGCCAGGAGAGATTATTGGATTCCCTGTAACTGCAGTTACAGATGTTTGAGAATGACATATGGGTGACAAGGTAGAATCTGTGTTCTTTGGAGGAACAATCAGTACAACTGATCTACATTGTGTCTCTCTCATTTTATGGTCTTCTTATAAGTGAGAAGATTTTCCACAAAATCAATGGAATATTTACTTTTCACAGGTCTAATATCTTGTTTCTTCACCCATCACAATTAAGATTTGTTTCTTAGATAGGGTTTCTATTGTTATGAAGATACAAAATGATTTCAGCAACTCCTATAAAGGAATACATTTAATTGGTGGTTAGTTTACGCTTCAGAGGGTAATCCCATTATCCCTATGGTGGCATGAATGGTAGCAAGCAGACAGATAAAATACTGAATCTGAATTCTCACATCTTTATACAATAGCAACAGAATGTGGTCTGAATCACTGGGAGTAGCTTGAGCATTTGTCAAATCACAAAGCCCACCCCAACAATGTCATACTTTCTCCAACAAAGCCAATCCTACTCCAACAAAGTCATACTTCTTAATATTACCACTCCATTTGTTGGGCATTTTGTTTTAAACCACCACAATTTGGTATCAGATAATAATTATTAGTTAGAAAGCAATTCAAAATGATACTCTTTTGCCATGGCATATATTCTATAATGTTAGTTTCAATATTTCTCCAAACTGAAATCCTGTGCAATATCAAAATTATAGGCATGGTCAAATTTTAATCAACTTGAGGGGGTAATGTTTTGTAAAATTGATACTGAATATATTTTGAAAAGCCATATGGAAACCCACTAATTTAGATGCTTTCTAAAGTAAATAAAATAATTCAAATTGTATTATGACATATAGGGGTGATCATGTTCCAACTAGAATTTATATGCTGTCAAGTAAAATCTATAGTATTAGGAATTGGTTTTCATCTTTTGAATAGTTGGCAAGAAGGGTCCCATAGACACCCCCCAATGTTATAGGCTGTTGTCAATGTTATTGGTTACCTTCTACAACCTGATGATAAGTCCCTATTACTGAAGACAGAACTTAACTTGTATTATTCACCATGGAGAAACTGAGTTATTGTCTAACAAGAAGCTTCATCTCTAATAATTATCATTAACAGTACTGGAAGGTACTCTGCACACTACAGGAGGAGAAAAGCAATCATAAATATCATATGTCTACCTATCCTGTGATTATACAAGTGACCTACCTTCCAGATTTATTGGTATTTTAATGGAAAAATTATTATGGGCCTAGTCAACACCATTATTATTGGCTTTAAAACCAATTCTATCAGATGGAACCCACATCTGACACTGACAATGAGGCCAAAACTTTATCCTAGATTGGTCATGGATTTACAGGAAAATCTATAAATATTATTGTGCTAAATAAAACAGCAATAAAATAAGTCCTGATGATATATTGCTATACCCATAGATCAGGGCATCACACCACTGTCATCAGAGAAGCTAATTTTTTGCAGTAGATTTTATTTTATTTTATTTTATTTTATTTTATTTTATTTTATTTTTATTTTTTTTTTTGGTTTTACGAGACAGGGTTTCTCTGTGTAGCTTTGCGCCTTTCCTGGAGCTCACTTGGTAGCTCAGGCTGGCCTCGAACTCACAGAGATCCGCCTGGCTCTGCCTCCCGAGTGCTGGGATTAAAGGCGTGCGCCACCAACGCCCGGCTGCAGTAGATTTTAATTAACACAGAGATCACAACTGGATAAAGTGCAGAAAGTAAGAAACTTGGATCAATCATTCCAAAATCAGATATCTTCATAAAACTCAACTACTCATTGTGCTGGGATCCATGAAGAACAGGAGATGGATAGATTGTAAGAGCCAGAATTGTTTAATAAATTCAAGTTTACAGAACTTTCCATGCAGACTAATAGCATGCACAAGTTACATATCTTATATGAGGCAAAATTTCAGCACAGAAAAAGACATTTGGACACAAATCCTCGCTCCTAAAAAAGAACCAAGGTTGGTTACATCTACACCAATATGCAATTGATACCTTCTAGGAAATGAAATTAAGTTATCTCCAATGGAGTGTCATTGGTGTATCAGTCATATTCCATGTCAGCCCTCATACTCAGGTGTATATTGCCAACACAAAACAGATCCATCTGGTGTGTCTAGGAGCGTATATCATTTTATTCTTGTTTTGTTTCATTTTTTGTTTGTACTTTTATTTTTTTTTACTGAGAGAGGAATAAAGTCAACTGTGTATAATCTGAAAGGCTTTGCAGCATGGTGTAATTATGATCAAAATATATTACATGCAAATATTTTAAATAAAAAATATAAGAAAAAATTTAAGGAATACAGAACTGTCCCAGGAAAGAGATGATCTATTTAAAATCTTGGCTATATTAATAACTGGGAGAAATCTCTGGCCAGAAAGTTCTCAAGAAAAGAAAGTAAAATGTCTATGGCTAAGAAATATCTTTTAAATTGGTCAATATTTAAACTTTAGAAAATGATAATTGAAACTACTTTGAGATTTCATCTTACTCAGCAAGAATGGTCATCATTCCAAAAAGCATAAACAACAAATGCATGTGAGAATAAGTGCTGCAGAAGGTGTGGGGAATGGGGAACACTCATGTACTTTTAGTGTGATAGGAAACTCTAGAGATCAGTTGAACCACTCTGGAAATCAGTGTGGAAAATTTATCACAAGGCCCCAACCAACTATTCCTTGGAATCTTTTAAAGAACTTGATATCATTTTTCACAAATAATTTCTTGGCCATGTTCACTACTCTCTGTTCATAATAGAAAAGAAAGAAAAAGAACCTAAAATTCCTTCAACCAATGAACTGCTAATGAAAACATGATACATGCATACAATGGATATCTATTCAAATATGTAGAAAAATGAATTAATGAAATTTTCATGTAAATGTGTTTAACTAGAAAGTATTATACTGAATGTGGTAACACAGACACAGAAACACAAATATTAAGTGTTCTCTCTTATTTGTGTTTTCTGGCTTGGAACCTGTAGATGCAAGTTTATAACCTCAAGCAACTTCAGAACCAAGAAAGCAAAATGAGATCAATTGTTAAAGCATCTCTCAATACTAGAATAGCGTGCAGGTACTTCAAAGGGAGAAATGGAATAAATGGATGGGGGCTTTAACTGATAAAGAGTCACAGAGTACAATACAGATTGACAGAGTGAAAGGAGGGTTACATACTGCTAGGCATTTTTAAAAAGACAGAGATAATCTTAATTTTCCAAATTTCTCTAAAATCACATATAATATGCATGTATTACCATGTATTTTAAAATAATTATGCCATTAATAGTGATTATATTCCCCCAAAGGCTGTATATATATATATATATATATATATATATATATATATATATATATGCCAATTACTAAAGTACTCGTTATGAGAAACCTCCTTTCAAGTTATTGTTCAGGGTAATCCATGAGACTTCTAAAACAGTATCAGCTAATGTTGCCCTGATTGTCTCAGAATTTGAAAATTCAACTCTTTTGTTAAAGCCTTAATGCACTTCAGACACAGAAACTGGGGAATTGAACTGAACTTCACCTGGAACCTCTTTCCTAAAAATTGGTTTCAAAAGTGAAAAGCTTCAAAGGGAAAGATCAATCACTAGACCTATCCAGATGTGATATCTGGGAGCCACAACAATAACTGGACTAGCAAGACATTCACAATGGTGAAATGGTGGAACTTTCATTTTAGAGGTTTCAAGGGATTTCTAATTGGACTTAAAGCACACTCAGAAGAGGTAAGCCATGTTTGGTACTGTAAACATAGACAACCAGTTAGGCATGGAGAGGGCATAGATCCAAGAGGTGAACCTGCCACTGCCAGTGTAACTATCCAGCATACTTTCTAGCTGTTTTCTTAATACCTATGTTTATACACACAGGCAAATATAGTTCTCACCCCTCATCAAAGATGCTCCTTTTTGCAATATATGGAGACTTTCACAAAGTTCCACAAATAATTCACTGTAAAGTACCCAACACATCTGCAATGAATATAGGGAAAAGGGGCTGGTCAAACTAACCCAACCTGACCCTGGAGCCGAGAACCAGGGAAAGAAACACAGTCTGAGTCTGGGAACTGAGCCAGAGAAAGGAAAATTATCCCCAGACCCAGAACCTAAGAAACAATCCCTGACTCTGAAACCAGTACCAAAGAAACACTCTTGGTCCCTAGAATCAGAGTCAGTCAAAGAAATATGCCCTAGCCTTAGAATTAGTGTCAAAAAGCCAAGAAAGGCCAGTAAAAGAAATACAGTTTGGCTCTGAGATCAAGGCCAAATCTGCCCCTAACCCACAGAAATAACCAATCCCTGAGCAGAAAAAAACTAACCAATATTTGGTTGACTCCATGCCCAAGATATTCTATATAATGTACCCTGCATGTTCAATTGGGGGCTATTCTCTAAGCCTGGTAGAGGCAGCCACTCTCCTGGACTCCTCCTTCCCATATAAATTTCTTTCTCAAAAGAGTTTTAGGTATGAAGATCATAAGTCACCCTTTCATGCTGAGCTGTCCTAGAAGCTCCAGGCCTGACTCTCCTGAGCAGTCAGAATACCTTCCCTTCCAGGGCTGAGCTGTCTCATTGCAGATCCAGCCATCAGAGCTGTCCTAGCAGCTCAAGATATCTGGGAGACCTTCCCATCCAGGGATGATCTGTCCTAAGCAAGTCAAGGTATTTGGGATACATCCAGGGCTGACCTATCCTGTCAGCTTGAGGTGTCCCAGATACCTCACCCTCTAGGGCTGAGCTTTCTCATTGCTGCTCCTGCTGTCAGGGCTGTCCTAGTTGTCATCTGACTCTCCAAATAGTTAAGATACCTTTCACCCAGAGTTGAAAAATTTATAATTTGGTGCCAAAATCTGGGACGAAAACCACAGAGTTGCAAAACTTACTTACATTTTGGTGCCCAAAACCTGGAGCAAACCCACAGAGTTTCAAACCTTTTTTACAATGAATCCGTTCTACCTAAGGCTTGTGAAAAACAGAGAGCCTGAGGATATCTGTTGATAGGATATATCCTACAGACATGACAGTGCAATACACCTTTGTACACTTACCAGTATATTTATACAAATGAACCACCATAATGGCACAGTTTTTACCCAAATAATGATAGGGGAAATTTTAAATTGTCTTATCCATAGAGGAAAAAACACAAAAACAGGTCAATGAAGTTAGAATCAACTGCCTAAGGAGGGGAAATCCCATATTGGTTGTTCAGGTCCTAGTGCTCATCTAAGGATACATTCACATACAAACAGAATTAAATGGACTCTGTATATTTTATAAATGTGTGATCATATCAACTTAGCAGTGAATATTAAAGAAGGGATCATGAATATGGGAAAGGAAGAAAGGCAATGGAGGGCGAAAACAAGGCTGAGGTCTAGCGAAGGCACTATATTTAACCAAAACAATCCCTACTTTTAAAAAGATGATTGTACATGACAACTGTTTTTCAGGGCAACATTTTTTACAGTCTCTGTAAATTTTTTTTCACATGTGAAACCATTGGGAATGCTTAATTGTACTAGAAAATATTTTAGCTAAGCCTCATTTCAATGTCTAAGTACTTGTTATTGAGTTTCATGTTTGGGGCCATGACCTCAGGCTCACAATTTTCTAGAACAATCTCTGATCAAGTTCACAGTGGCTTAATACAGCAACCTTTGACTGGTTTCAGCAATCTGTATTTCTTCCTATCAGCAGCTCATTTTGTACAAACTTTGGGATGTTAATGATTTTTTGACTGCACTATAAATTTTACCTCTCAGCATTTGCTTTAAGCTGAACAGGTGGTCAATGCTGGAATTTTCACAACACCAAGAAAGAGTTTTTTTGGGATGTCAGCCTACTTTTGGTTTGAGGGAATACCTTTCCATGCTATACTGCATAAAAGAGAAATTATTGAAGAAAGCCGTGATAAATTTGTGATCAGAGATGAAGACACAGTCATACTGAGTTATCCTAAATCAGGTAAGGAACATCAATGAGAATGATCCTGAACTGTCTGTGGAACTTTTGGGCTTTAATCATCTTTCATTTAGGTGGTGAATGGAATGCTTTATATATCTCATGTGTTCAAATGGTTGTTTGTGGTCTTGGAGAGCTTTATCTGAGAACATTATCATTCAAAGGAAAAACTCTATCCTAAGCAATTTAGTCAGAGGAGTAGCTAAGGCACTTGCCTGAGCTGATCCTTGGAGCAATAGCAGTGTCTCCTAAAGCAGATTGTGGCATTCGTTTGTCTGTCTGGAAGAGAGATAAGGATGAGAATAAACAGATAAAATAGCATCAAGAAAAAAGGCATGAATGTAAGAATATGTGGAGGAGAGAACAAGGTCCGGTAAAAGAATTACCATGGACCTTCTTTATGTAGAATAAAGAGTCTCAAAACTCAAGGAACCAAGAAAGGCATCATGGTCATTTGGGGGATTAGTGTGGTGGCTGGCAGAAGCAGTAAACTTTGGTTAAGTATTAGGTTGCTAACATCAAAGGACAATAAAATGGAAAATCTAAGGACAGTGGAATGCAGGAAAAGAATTCAGATAATAGCTCAGAGAATAATGCTAGAGAAACACTCATTGACAAATGAGCATATAATCAGAAATACACGTGTGTATGGTAAATAGACACAGGGATTTTATTTAAGCTAAAGAGAAGCAGTACCAATACATACAGTGCAGGATGGATGCATCTTAATGACATTGTACTAAATAAAAGGCTCCATTCTCAAGGACAGATTCCATGACTGCATCCCTGACAAATATGTGGAACAGTTGAATTTACCGAAACAGAATCGTTCTTGACTGAAGGGAATGTTCAATAGGCAGGTGGGGTTTACTGAATGAAGATTCTCAGTTTTGTTAGGTGAAGCATTTTGAATCTTCTGAAAGAATATATCCACTTACACAATGTGGATATTGCAAATACCACATGCTTTTGTGATTGGAAACAGCTAAATTATAAATTTTATGGTTGTATATTCTATTTAAGGCTTTTCAGAGGTGCTCTTGAAATGAGTGACAATACCTTTTTCTTCTTGTTCAGGAACTAACTGGCTGATTGAGACTGTCTGCTTGATTCAGACCAAGGGAAATCCCAAATGGATCCAATCTGTGCCCGTCTGGAAACGCTCACCCTGGATAGAGACTCAAAAGGGCCTTCCAATATTAATCAATAAGGAAGGACCACGCCTCATGTCCTCCCACCTGCCTTTCCATCTTTTCCCCAAGTCTTTCTTCAGATCCAAGGCCAAGGTCAGTGTCCAGTGGTTGAGAAATCTTTGGCCAAATGCTCATTGAACTTATTCTACTGTGTTGGGCCCTGGACCACTGCCTGAAATGCATTCTTTGTAGATTTGGAGAGGGAAGATGGGATTCTCATTCACTAGGTGATTCTAATCTGTCTCCTCCTCAGACTATATCAGAATAGCAGAATATCAACCACCTCTCAGTGATCCTGGGCAGATATAATGCAAAAAACTGTGTTATCTCAGTGGGGCATTCAGGGACTACACATACATGTCAAGTAGAGCTCAAACTCTAGCATCCAGTGGATGTAATTTTTTTATGTCATCAAAGTCATTTAGCTAAAATTGATTCTACATATAGCCCATACATAATTGATGAATCACCCAAGCAGAGTTGCTCATAGGGGATGTAGCCTGAACAGGCACGAATGCTGTAATCTGGGAGATTGTTCAACAATCATGACTTATCTGTATCCAATATGTCTTGCTGTGTCCAGCTGTGCACTGAGCTCAGTACCCACAAAAATCACCAACATCACTTATTGGGGATCCCCAAAAGGATTCAGGAATATACAGGTTCTGACATATCATTGCTCATTGTTAGTAAGAAAGTTTTGTGGAAGTCCCCATACCTTAGAACCTATAAGTATTTATGCTTAAACACAAAGACAAATATAGAAAATAATCTCTCTCTCTTGAAACTATCACAATGAAGTTGTGATCATACACCTATATATGTGTGTCTTTCCAACAAGATTTGGAAAACATGTGTCTGGAGAAATTAAGGCCTAAAAGATGAATTATATAATAATGTCACAATGAGCATTGGGACAAAATATTAATCTCATTAATTATTTAATATTAATTTTTTTGAAATTATTTCTTCTATTTTTGCAATTGCACTATAATTACATTCATTATTCTCTCTTCTTCTCTCCAGGCTTACCATTATAACCCTCTTTTCTCTCTTTCTTTTTTTTGGTGGGGGGTTTCAAGATAGGTTTTCTCTATGTAGCTTTGTGCCTTTCCTGGATCTCGCTCTGTAGACCAGGTCAGCCTCGAACTCACAAAGATCCACCTTCCTCTGTCTCCCAAGTGCTGGGATTCAAGGCATGTGCCACTACCTTCAGCCTTTTCTCTCTTTCAAATTTGTGGGTTTTTCCATCATTTTTGTTACATCTGTATTTGTATCTATGTGTTCCTAAGTACCTTGGTAAAATCTGCTCAGTATGTACAATGTTAGTGTATGTATATTTTCAAGGCTAAAAAACTGGTATGGCATAACCAATTGCTATGCTTTTCCCTGGGAAGTCTATTTCTTTCCATCTCAGCATTTTTTAGGTGCTCATTGGTCTTTGTGTTCACCATTTTGCAATGAAACATTGG